GCAAGCTGCGGGCATCGGCGCGGCGGCGGCAGGCGGCGGCGCGGCGGGTGCGGCGCCGAGCGGAGCGCCAAAGCAATCCGGAACCTGCTGTAAGCTGCTCGGCACCGTCGAACCGGACGCTCCCGCGGATGGGACGCTCGCCGCAACGGCGGCGGCGCAGTAGGCACTGGGTGTGACACCGCTGCGGGTCGCGCTGTCGGCAAACGCTCGGAGCTGGCTGTTGTCGTGCGCGAGCGCGGCGCGAAAGTTGCGCAGCGCCGCGACTTGCTTCGAGGCAGTGGAGAGCTGCTCCTGCAGCAGCAACGACCACTTGATGTACACACTCATCTCTGTATTGCTGACTTGTGAGACGGGCAGCTTCGCGCCCAGCACAGCGCTGTGCGGGTGCATGCTCTGCTGAGCGAGCTCCTCCACCTTGGCGCGCAGCGCCATTGCGCGATGGTTCAGGTCAGCCGCCGTCATGGACGAGCCGGCGCCGCCTGCCGAGGCCATCTTCAGGATCGGCGCGTGTGCACCACTCGTAATGAGCGCCTTCGGACTCAGAGAAGTGTTTCTTTCTGCTTAGCCTTCGATGTTATGAAACAAACGCGCCTGAACGCGTGGCGTTCAAGCGGCACTTCTCTCGCGTCGGCTCCGCCGAGCGCTGCACAGAGACCATCTTCACTGACCACCAACGACAGGTGTGCGACTACGCGCTCGTCTACGCGGAGAAGAAGAACGACGGCGAAGCGCCGTACTCGGTCTCCTTCACCGCCACGCAGAACGGCGACGTCATCGTCCAGCTGCACCCGCACTCGCAGCTCGAGCGCGCTGTGCGCCACGAGCGGCAGGCGCAGGCCACGGAGCCGCCTGCGAGCGCGAGCCCTGCGGCGCCGCCCGCCCCTGCCGCCGCGCCGCCAGCCGCGGAGCCGGCGTCCACCAAGACGTACGCCGCCGCAGCCGCATCGCAGCCGCAGGGTGCCACCGCGGGTGGCCAGCCCGCCGCGCCTGCGGGCCCGGCCGCCGCCGCGCGCGTGCCGCCGCCGCCCAGCGGCGGCGGAGTGCGCGGCTGCACCTTCACTGTCCCCGACCCGGGCAGGAAGCGCGGGCGGCAGCAGCGCGGCAAGGGCAGCACCAGCCGCGGCCGCGCCGATAACGGACCCCGTCTCGTCGACAAGAACGCGCTCTCGGCGCGCGGCGGCGGGCCCCCACGCCAGTCGCGCTCTCCCTCGCCGGACTCGCCGCCCGCCAAGCGGGCTTCCTCCGCCGACTCGTCCGGCTACGACACCGATTTACCGGACGAGGTGCAGCAAGAGGCGGTCCGCAGGGTATGCGGCGCGCTCGGCATGAGGACGCAGTTCGACGCGGCGGTGGCGGCGGGCGAGCTTCTCGAGCTGCTCGAGAGCTTGCCGCGAGGGGCGGTCGAAGCCTCTGTCCGACAGATGCGGGGTTACATCCGCACAGGCGAGTGGCCAGAGCCCATTCTCACCAGCCCTGCCCTGCAGCGCGGCCGCTCGCCAAGCCCCGTCGATGAGTGGTCAGATGGATAGTGCCCGAGAGCGAGGGGTCCGGGGGGGAGCACAAATAGGACGCCCAGCCCTGCCCTCGTGCCGCCGAGTGTGTATCCTATGCGAGAGAGATCCCCTGTGCCATCTGCCCAGCCCTCTCCGCGCGGAGATGCACCCTCCCCCCTCGCTTTTGCAAAATCCTGCAAAGGTGGGGACGCGTCTGTCCTCGACCCAGCCCTAGCTTGGGATGTCCGTTGTATTTATTTATTTATTTATTTATGAAACAAACGCAAGGCGGACATGGCATATCGCTCTCGGGCCCACAGACATCCCGGATCCCGCACACCCGCCGCCCCCGCGCGCGCCCCACCTCGGCCGGGAGAAAGGGGAGTGACAGTTTGGGATGGACAGCCCGAGTATGTTGAGTCCTGGCTCAACAACGCAGGGAACAAGAGGGGGTGGTCCGGCTTTTCTTTTCACACATCGGAGAAAAAGAGTTCTGCCGTCTCTCTGACACTCACCACTCACACACACACCCGCCAGTTTGGTCGGGCATCGGGTCCCAGGCCCCACCGTCGTGAGAGGGCGGCGGAGCAAGGCGCTCGCGCTGCTGGCCGGGAGTGAGGGTGAGGGGGTGGCGCGCTCAGAAGAGGGGCGACTTGAGCATATCGGCGACGAAGGGCAAGTTGTCGCTGGCGGCAAACGGCGCCATCACCTCGCCGCTGTACGGCGCGATCTTGCCGGCGAGGGCGGGGACGGAGCCCGGCACCTTGGACTCGGAGACGAAGGCCATGATGCCGAGCATCGCGAGGCGGCCGTTGTTGATCTCGGCGAGCAGGCCCTTGGCCTTCTTCTCGGGCGATGCGTTCTTGGACAGCCCAAAGGGATCAAACAGGTCAAACGGAACCGGGTGCGGGATGCCCCCCTTCTTGATCGACCTGCGGGGCGGCGGGTCGCGGCGCCGTCGGCGGGGCGGCTCGCGCGGGCGGGCGCCGCCGCCGCCGCGGCGGGGCGGCTCGCACGGGAAGAAGCCCGGCTTGCCGCCGCGCATGTAGTGCTTCTCGCCCGACAGGCCGAGCACGTACGAGTTCTCGGACCAGAGCTCGAGGCCGCCGACGAAGAGGAGGATCTGCAGCTTCGACGCGGTCGGCAGCGCGTCCCACTGGTCCGCCGGCCCGCCCGCCGCGAGGATGTCCGAGTGCATCACGCCATTCGGGCCGCCGGTCAGCGCCCACGGCCAGCAGATGCCGTTCGACTGGACAATGTAGCCGACGAAGGCGGCCATCGCGACGCGGCCGTGCTTGATCTCGGCGTGGCGCAGGAAGCCGATCGCCGCCTCCTGGCCCTGGCTCCACTGGTCGTAGTCGGCGAGGTTCAGCGGGTCCCTGCGGCGGCGGCGGCGGCGGCGGTCGGCGGCGGGCAGTCATCGGCGACGGCCGGCAGGAGGCGGCGGCGATGGCGGAGGCGTGAGAAGCGGCGTGCACGTGCGCGGCGCACCAGTAGCCAATCACCTACAGACGGTCACCCACAGTTCAGACAGGGCATCGAAGGCGGAGCGGATCATCGCACGGCGCTCGCCGGGTTGAGCTTTCCGGCCAGAGACTCGAGCTCGGCCTTGGACTCCATGACGGGCGCGGCGGTGCGCACTGCGGGGGCGCGCATCAGCGCCGCGGGCGCGAGCGAGAGGGTCGAGGCAGAAGCCAGAGAGAGCATCTTTGAGAGGGCGACGGTGGAAATTAGTGTTGGGTGATCGCACCCGCAGGGTTCATTTTGAGGGCACTTTGGGGGTACCGTGCGTTTGCCAGTGCTTGGATAGCGCATCACACCCCTCTTCTTAAAATCCCTGTGTGGTGGCGGCGTGCCGCCACCACCGTCCTCCCATCCCTCCCTTGTTTTATTGTTTTCTTGCTTTCTTTCTTGAAGAAATCACGACTCTCACAGTGATTTGGGCTCGGCGGCTTGTTAGCCCTCAGCCGAAGCTGGGGCCGGTCCCGTAGCCGAGAGAGCCCGCGCCGATGAGTTCGACGCGGTCGGGGGGGCCTGCGGAGAGGCCAGCGAGGTGGCGATCGCTGTACTTCATGGTCGTCATCAAGTGACCGGCTGACAACTGCACTCCAAGTGCTCCAAGACAAGCCAGAGTCGATACTCTGACGATCTATATTACTCGAATATGGCAAGAATATGGCTCCAAATAGGGCCTATATTCTCGAATATTCTTTATATTTATATGGTAAAATTCTTTATATTCCGGCTGAAAATCGCTTCGAAAAAGAATAAATAATATGAAGAAAAGCGTATAAAGGCCAACATAGCGCATAGGATGCCACGAATGCCTGAAGGAGAGGGAGGCGAGGCCAGAGGCAGACTCAGCTGCTCTCGGGTGATCGCCCGGCGCGTTTGTCGAGCGGCGCGACGCTCGGACTGGACACCAACGGCAAACAACAAACACAAACACCAACGCTCTCCTAAAATCTCTCTCTCTCTCCCAACGGACGGCAACGACGCGGTGGGTGGACGCGAGCCTCCTTCCCTCCGGTCTGTGGCTTTGTGCCCACCTCTCTCTGCGCACAGCTCGAGCTCCGTTCTGTCGCGCTACCATGGTTCGTCGTGAGAGTCGGAGCGCCGTGCGAGAAAGAAAACCACCAGGCCTAACTGTGGTTGCGGCCAACCCAGCGCGATCGAAGCAAGCGCGAGCATGGAGAGCCCCAGTAGCTCCAGCTCGACTGCCGCGGTAACCCTAGGATACATGGCCTGCTCCTCGCTGATGCTCGTCGTCAACAAGCTCGCCGTCCACCTCCTGCCCGCGCCCAGCTTTGTGCTGCTCACGCAGTTCTTTGCGTCATGGTTTGTCGTCAAGGGCCTCGGCCTGGCCGGCGTCATCGAGGTGGACGCGCTGGAGTGGAGCAAGCTGCGCGCCTTCCTCCCCATTGCGGCCGCCTTCCTCGCCTGCGTCTTCGCAAACATAAAGACGCTGCAGTACGCCAACGTGCGGCCCTGCCGCCCTCGGCGCCGCCGCGGCCGTGGCCACGCGCCAGCCCCGGACGCGCGCGCCCGCAGGTGGAGACCTTCATCGTCTTCCGCGCCTCGACGCCGCTCGCCATCTCCATCGCCGAGTGGCTCTTCCTCGGCCGCGAGCTGCCCAACTGCCGCTCGTTTTGCTGCCTCGTCTCGCTCCTCGCCGCCGCCTGCGGGTGTGCGCGCGCTCGCCGCGCTCGGCCGCGGCCCGCCAGCGACGGCTGACCGCCTCTCCCGCTCTAACCTCCCCGCGCAGCTACATGTACTTTGACTCCGCCTTCGAGGTCCGCGCCTACGTGTGGGTCGGCGCCTGGTACGCCATCTTTTGCTTTGACCAGCTCTACATCAAGTGCGCCGCTCTCTTGCCGAGCCGTCGCCCGCCGCCCGCCGCCCGCTTCCCGAGGCGTGGCCCGCCGTGCCGCGCGCAGGTATGCCGTGGACGCGACGGTCGTCGACTCGAACTGGGGGTGCGAACCCCCGTACCGCCCGCTCAGCCCGCATCGCGCGCGGCTCAGCTCGGCGGCCCTCGCCGCGCAGGCGGGTCTTTTACACCAACCTGTGGGCGTGCGGGATCGCGACCGTCATCTGCGCCGCGACCGAGCCGCAGACGCTCCTCACCCTGCGCTGGACCAGAGAGAGCATGGCCGCCCTCGCCGTCTCCGCCGCCCTCGGGGTCGGCATGTCGTACTTTGCCTTCATCTGCCGCGCGTCGGTCTCTGCGACCTGCTTCACCATCCTTGGGAACGTGTGCAAGGCGCGCCGTCACCCTGCCGCCCACCGGCGCCACGCCCTCCTCTCGTCTAGCCCGCGCGCCGCTCTCGCGTGCGATCGCCGCCGCCTCGCATCGTTCCGCCGCGCTCTCGAGTGTGCGCGCCGCCGCACGAAGAGCGCTCTTTGCCTCGTTGGGGGTGCGGGCGTGCTCGAGGCAGTGGTGGTGCGACGCGGGGCTCCCGACGGGGACGCGCCGACGCGGGGAGGGCCCACCCCTCTCCCTCTCTGCCCTCGCTCACCGTCCCCCGCCGCGCAGGTGCTGACGGTCTTCATCAACGTCGTCATCTGGGACAAGCACGCCTCACAGGAGGGGCTCGCTTGCCTCGCCGTCTCGCTCGTCGCCGCCGCGCTCTACCAGCAGGCGCCCAAGCGGACGCCGGCCGACGCCGCCTATGCTCGCGTCGCCATCTCGACGGGAGAGAAGGGGTAGCCGCCGCTCCGCGTTATATGCTCTGACCGAGAGGTCGCCAGGAACCACTGGCTCCGCCTGGCTCTGAGTCGCGTGCGTCGGTGCCTCTCAGTGTCCCTGGGCGTGTCGTGTCTGCACACCACCCACCACTTTCAGGGCCTCTGCAGAGATTGCACATCTCCCGGTGGCCGGTGTGTGCCTGTGTCGTCTCGAGCGGGGACAGCGGACACACACGCGAGAGCGGTGAGCGCGCGCGGCGGCGCACGCCGGTCGCCGCACTGAGCGGCGAGCTGAGCTCCCAGAGGCAGAGCTGAGAGCACTCGACTCTCTGCGGTCTGCGCACAACACGTGTTCGCCTTCAGTTCAATCGTCAGCTCTGTTTCATGGTATCGCCCGGGCCCGCGAATCGATAGTAGGTACGTACACTATGTACATCGGGCAACGAGGTGGATAGGACGCCAGGCGGGGTGTGTGCGTGCGGCACACTAGATCGCGCAAGGGTCAATGACTGCTCCCGAAACACGCGTCACACTCACACAACGACACACATGCAGCATGCAGAGTTGTCTGGTCGGGTCCCCGTTCGGCCGAGGCGAATTCAAGGGCTCGCCGGCCGGGCAGCCAGGTCAGCCACCCACGCAGCGGCCGGTTTTCGGCCTTCTTGAGGCCGTCTTGCTGACCGCCCCGCTGCGCCCGGTTTTGGGGCGCGAGCGCCGCTGCCGGAAGGCGCAGCCGACCTGCTGCAGCACGACGATGTCCTCGCCGAGGATATGCAGCACCAGGTGCTGGAACGCGTCCTTTGTCAGCAGCAGGTGTTGATGGAGCGTCAAGTTTGCCAGCTGGCACAGCGCGAGGCTCTTGGCGCGAGGCAGCTGCTCGCCGAGCGCCTCGAGCTGCGCGGGGAGGCGGCGGGCGGTGGGTGGGCCAGAAGGGCCGCGGGCGGCGGGGGGCGGGGCGGCCGAGCGCACCAAATCGTCAAGTCCATGAGTGTCTGCCATCATCATCAGATGAGATGACAGTCTCGCCCCGGGAGATTCGGCCGCAAAGGTTCCACCAAGCTTACATTGTTGAACCATTAACAAGTGGAATGGCTGTTCACACACACACCGCGCAAAGGTCTGAACAGTGAACACTCGGAGAGCTCTTCCAGCTCATCCGCCCACCGCTCCAGCGCCGCACTCTCCGCCCAAGCCTCAGCGTGGCTTTTGCCGGAGCAGCCGCCACTTGGCCTGTATAAGGTTTTCCGGAAACAAAAAGGAAAACAGAGGGTCCCCAGCACTTTGCGTTTCCGGAAATTTCCAGGGAAAACAGAGGGTGTTTGGTGCTCCATTCTGGAAACTCGCTGTTTTCCCTGAGTCTGAGAGCTGGTCTGGGGCAAAATCTAAGGCAAAATTGAGGAAATCGACAAAATACCCAGGCGGTCGCAGGGTAAATTCCAGGTATGCACGGGTTCTCCGCAAAATTCCCGGCATTTTGCCGATTTGGCCTAAAATTTGGCTGATTTTGGGCCCAAACCAGCCTCAGACTCGGCTCAGAGCCCAAAATTTGACGATTTCCACGGAGTTTTCCCGGGAAAAGAGAGAGGAAAAGAGAGGGTGTTGTAGAGAAAAAAGGAAAGGAAAACAGACGGGGTGCGAGAGGAAAACCTTATACAGCCTAAGCCGCCACCTGAAGCCGCTGCCTCTGCGGCGCTGGCGAGAGAGCCCGCACCACAGCCTCACGGAGCGCTGCCGCGGCGCCCACGGCCACGCGCCCTCCCCTCCACCCCCCCCCACCGCATCGGCACCACCACCGAGATGCTCTGCGGCGAGAGCGACAGTGTTGGCATCCTGCAGTGAAGCGTAAACGTGCTGCGCCGTCTGCTCGTCCGCCGGCAGTCGCTGCCGGCCGGCTGCGCCGATGCCGTTGACGACGCTGGCAGCGCAGCTGTTGTCGCCGGTCGCAGTACCGTCGTCAGCGGCGCCGCCGCCACCGCCACCAGGTGGGCGAGCAGAGTCGGCCGGCATGCACCTGCCGACCGCCGCTGTTCACACCAAAACTGAGAAGTTCGACGCCCTCGGAGTTTGGGGCCCGTCCAAGCTGTGGCTCGGGCACGACACAACACGCTATTTCGTGGCAAATCATGACCTCGCTCCGCATCTCGATCCCTCTCGACGACGCTCCCCCGAGCAAGCTGCACCCTCGCAGCCCCATCCAAGAGCGCCTCGAGTCGGCCCTTCCCAACCGCCCGTCCCTGGCCGAGCTCCACGAAGCGCAGCAAAAGGCCGAGGCGCGCGCCCGCCGCTCGTGGGGTGGGAGGGGCGGGGCGGGAGGGGGCCTGCCGCGCCACGCCCGCACGCGGGCGGGCCAGGGGGGGGGTGACGCCCTCTCCCCCGCGGCGCACCGCGGCGCGAGAGCACGTGCCGGCCGTCGCCCCGCGCGCCAAGGAGGGTAGGGCGACCCCCCTCCAATCTCCCTTGGGCCACGTGAAGGCTGACCCCGACTCGCCACTCGCGCTCCGCAGGCGCTGCGGCAGGCCCACATCGACTCCGTCAAGCAGCGGGGCCAGCGCGCCGCCTGCCGGGCCGCCTCCTCCTCCGCCCGGCGCCGCGCGCTCGACGAGGTGCGCGCCGCCCGCGCCATCGAGCAGGCGGCGCGGCGCGACGAGGCGCTGGCCAAGCGGACGAAGCTGCTCGCCAGCCGGGCCACCTCGTGCGCCTACCGCGTCAAGCGCGCCATCGCCGTCGCCGCCGCCACCCGCGAGCACGCGCGCCAGACGCAGAGCGCGACCAAGTGCAACCTCGAGGCCAAGCTCGAGGCTGCCGCCGCCCGGCGCGCCGAGGCGCGCGCCGAGGAGAAGCAGCGCGCGCCGCTGGTGCCGCCGATGTGGCGCGGCACCGCCGGTCCGGCCCACGCCGCCGCCCCCTCCTCCCAGCCGGCGCCCTCCGACGGCGGCGCGCCGGCCTCGCCGGACGGGCGCAGCGCCTCCGAGCGGCTCCTCTCCGAGGTGGAGTCGGAGTGGGCGGCGGCGGACGACGACGCGGACGCGCAGCGGATCCAGGCGTGGATGCGGCGGCCCGAGACCATCGAGACGGCGCGTGCCTGGCTCGAGGAGGTCGGGTGCGACCCGCGTGCGGGCCGGCTCCTGCTCGGCCTCGTGTACATGGCGCGCGAGGCGGCGCGCCTCTTTTGCGACTCGAGCGAAGACAAGTCGATGGCGCGCGAGGCGAAGCGGTTCCACAAGCGGCTCCTCGCCGCGCTCAAGACGGGCGAGGCGGACGACTTCCCCGAGGACCTGCGCCGCGCGCGCCGCTTCCACGCGGCGTGGCTCGCTGTCGACAAGCCAAAGGTCAGCTCCCCGCGCCCACGCCACCCGCACCGCCGCACCCGCACCGCCGCACCCGCACCGCCGCACCCGCCGCACCCCCGCTCGCGTGTCGACGACGCATCAGTCACGCGCCCGCGCGCGCCGCGCAGGTGGTCGGTTGCCTCGTCGACTCGCTCGTCGCTCGCCGCGCGGAGCAGGCTGCGCCGCGCGTGCCAAACGAGGCTGGCGCGGCGGTGCCGTCGCTGTCGGCGTCGGCGGACGAGACGCTCGAGATGATCCGCCGGCTCGGTGGCGCCGAGGCGGAGGCGGAGGCGCGCGAGGCGGAGCGGCGCGCGGGCGAGATGGCGCACGTGCGCGCGGAGGACCTCGCCACGCATGTCGGCAAGGTTGCCAAGCGCGCTTTTTGGGACGCGGTGCAGGAGCGGCTCCGCGGCGGCGACTTTGAGTGCGCGTTTGGGCTGCTCGGAGAGATGCAAAAGGCGATGCTCGCGCTCGTCGCCCACTCGGCGAAGGCGCGTGAGGAGCTCGCCGATAAGTTCGACGCCGCGTGGCTCAAGCAGCAGGCCGACAACGGCGCGCTCGAGCTCGGCAGCGTCACAAACCTGATGAAGTACGTCGCCTCGACCATCGCCGCGTGGCAGGCGCCCGCCGACGAGCCGGAGGCGCGCGCGTGGGTCGAGTCCGTCGAGGCCGTCGCCGCCGCCGCGGTGGCGGAGCGCGCCGACCTCGGCGCCTTCATCGGCGACCACCTCGCCCCCTTCCTCGCGCGTGCGCACGAGCTGATCGGCCGCATCTACGAGAGGCTGGTTGCGATGCAGCAAGAGGCGGACGGCGAGGCCGCCGCCGCCGAAGCCGCCGCCGAGGCCGAGGCCGAGGCGCCGCCGCAAGACTAGGGGTGGCGCGGCCAAGTGGCCGCCCGCGAGGCCCTCCTCGATCGGCCCTGGCCCTTCCCTCGCGTGCATGGAGTGGCCAGCCGCCTCGCGGCGCTCCCCCGAGCGCCACGATCGTGGGAGTGAGGGATGGCGATGCACTTTGTGATGGATGAGCATGTTCCTGTACCAAATGGTAGATGTCCTCGTGTGCGCGCAAGACTTGTGGTGGCTGGTTCGCCGGCGGCAAGTCGCGCTGCGGCGCTGTGGCCTGGGATGCACGCTGTGTGATTCTTGAGTGGGATATGTCTTGTGTGCGCGCGCTGTGCCATTCGTGGCCTCGCGCCGCGCCCAGTATGTAAATTGATGGGTACACACCGTGGTCCGTGGACACGCGACACGTGTTAATTCTTAATTAATGAGAGTTCCAGAGTAACTGCCAGAGATACTGGGAAGAACGGGAACTGCTTATACGCTCGTTACTGGGTCGAACGGCTTTACTGCTGGAGTGTAAAAATACAAAAATAATAGTACGTGTGTGTCTTGTATGTCTATGTGTGACGGGGAAAAGGAAATTTTATTTAATTCATCAAAGGCTCGCAAGGGCCTCCGGTATACTGTGATCTGTGTTACGGTAGTGGAGAATACATGCAATATCCGGCCGCATCTCCATCTGCCATCTCGAGAGAAAGTAGACTCACGCTCACTGCCTATCTTCTGTCTCTCTGCGGAGGAGACCCTGAGCACTGTCGCCTCCCTCAGGCTCAGCAGCCTCTCCCTCAGACGACGACGCGTCGGTGCTGACGTCTTTGCCAGCCGCACCGGCGCTCTGCGCAGCTTCTCTCTCATGCCTCCTGCCCCCCCCCGGCTCCGAAGAGCGTCGCCGGCGCTTCTCCTTGCGCTTCTCCTTGTGCTCCTTGAGGCTCTTGCGCTTGCGCTCCTTCTTGGCCGCCTTGCGCGCGCGCCGCTCCTCCTGCAGCTTCTCGACCATTTGCTCGAGAAGCACTGCCCGCGCTGCCGCAGCGGGCGGCGCGGGCGGCGCGGCTGGCGTGGGCGGCGCGGGCGGCGCGACAGGCGCGGCCGGCGTAGCTGCCACGTGCGCCGCCGCCGCCGCGGAAGCGGCGCCGTGGTGGGACTGAGCAGCGGAGGCAGAGGGCTGCTTGGAGGCGCCGCCGTCGCCCACAGCGTCCGCGCGGCGAGGCTGGAGGCGGTCGAGGGCGGCCTGGCGGTAGCGGATGGCGTTGGCGTCGCGCGGGTCGAGCTGGACCGCCTAGGGGCGGCAGCGAAGGCGAGGTGGCGAGAGGGTGGCGGGTGGCAGCGCCAGCGAGCCTGCGTTGGCCTTGTCGAGCGCCTCGATGGCGTCGCGCAGCCGACCGCCGTTGATGAGGCAAGCGCCTGCGGGGGAGACGGAGGCGGGAGCGCTATGTCGGCGCCGGCCACTCGAGAGCGAGAGCGAGGCAAAGGGAGGCGACGGCGAACACGCGAGTCGAGAGGGCGAGGAGCAGAGCGCGAGCTGCAGAGGGCGAGGTGCAGAGGGCGAGGAGCAGAGGGCGAGGTGCAGAGGGCGAGGTGCAGAGGGCGAGGTGCAGAGGGCGAGGTGCAGAGGGCGAGGGTGAGGGCGAGGTGCAGAGGGCGAGGAGCAGAGGGCGAGGTGCAGAGGGCGAGGGTGAGGGCGAGGTGCAGAGGGCGAGGTGCAGAGGGCGAGGTGCAGAGGGCGAGGTGCAGAGGGCGACAAGCAGGGCGAGGTGCAGAGGGCGAGGTGCAGAGGGCGAGGTGCAGAGGGCGAGGGGCAGGGCGAGGTGCAGAGGGCGAGGTGCAGAGGGCGAGGTGCAGAGGGCGAGGGTGAGGGCGAGGTGCAGAGGGCGACAAGCAGGGCGAGGTGCAGAGGGCGAGGTGCAGAGGGCGAGGTGCAGAGGGCGAGGTGCAGAGGGCGAGGTGCAGAGGGCGAGGTGCAGAGGGCGAGGTGCAGAGGGCGACAAGCAGGGCGAGGTGCAGAGGGCGAGGTGCAGAGGGCGAGGAGCAGAGGGCGAGGTGCAGAGGGCGACAAGCAGGGCGAGGTGCAGAGGGCGAGGTGCAGAGGGCGAGGTGCAGAGGGCGAGGTGCAGAGGGCGAGGAGCAGAGGGCGAGGTGCAGAGGGCGAGGTGCAGAGGGCGAGGGTGAGGGCGAGGTGCAGAGGGCGAGGTGCAGAGGGCGAGGTGCAGAGGGCGAGGTGCAGAGGGCGAGGTGCAGAGGGCGAGGTGCAGAGGGCGAGGTGCAGAGGGCGAGGAGCAGAGGGCGAGGTGCAGAGGGCGACAAGCAGGGCGAGGTGCAGAGGGCGAGCTGCAGAGGGCGAGGTGCAGAGGGCGAGGTGCAGAGGGCGAGGAGCAGAGGGCGAGGTGCAGGGGGCGAGGTGCAGAGGGCGAGGTGCAGAGGGCGAGGTGCAGGGGGCGAGGTGCAGAGGGCGAGGTGCAGAGGGCGAGGTGCAGAGGGCGAGGTGCAGAGGGCGAGGTGCAGAGGGCGAGGGTGAGGGCGAGGTGCAGAGGGCGAGGTGCAGAGGGCGAGGTGCAGAGGGCGAGGTGCAGAGGGCGAGGTGCAGAGGGCGAGGTGCAGAGGGCGAGGTGCAGAGGGCGAGGAGCAGAGGGCGAGGTGCAGAGGGCGACAAGCAGGGCGAGGTGCAGAGGGCGAGCTGCAGAGGGCGAGGTGCAGAGGGCGAGGTGCAGAGGGCGAGGTGCAGAGGGCGACAAGCAGGGCGAGGTGCAGAGGGCGAGGTGCAGAGGGCGAGGTGCAGGGGGCGAGGTGCAGAGGGCGAGCTGCAGAGGGCGAGGAGGGCGAGGTGCAGAGGGCGAGGGTGAGGGCGAGGGCGAGGGGGATCTGCGCGCCCCGGGCGACGAGCGCGTCGACGTGGCTCGGGTCGAGCTCGAGCGCATGCCCGTACGCGGCCAGCGCCTCCGCCTGCCTTCCCGCCCTCGCGTGCGCCACCCCTCTCCGCACCGCCTCCGCCGCCCAGAGCAGATTCTGCTCGCGCCGGCACGACTCGAAGGCGCGGCGGCCGCCCGCCGCGGCGCCGGCCGCGTGCGTGCGTGTTGGCGGCGGCGCGAGGGCCGACGCGTGCTGCGGGATGTCGAGTGCCGCACGGAGGGCGTCAAGGGGCCGCGGCGGTAGCTCCTCAACCCTCTCTCTCAGGGTGAGCCAGCAAGCGCCTCGCCCCTCGAGGAAGCGAGGCGACGGCGCAGACCCAGTCGAAAAGCCCGGCGGAGCAGCGGAGCAGCCGAGCAGGGGGCGCAGCCCCGACGCCTCGCAGTCCCCCGCGAGGATCGAGATGCAAATCCTCACGCCGCCGCCGTCCGACCCGCCGCCGCCGCCGCCATTGTCGCCGCCGCCGCGACCTCCGCCGCCGCCTTCGGCGCCGTCGACAATGCTGCCGTCGTGCACGGAGAGCGCGACCGCCGTCACGGTAGCGTCGGTCGGGGCCCGCCGCCTCATCACCTCCTCAAACGCGGGCGCGCCGCCGAGGGCGGGCGAGCGCGGCAGCAGCAGGCCGGCGGGCAGCGCGTGCGAGGCGTGCAGGAGCGCGAGCGTCGACGGCTTGAGCTTGCGCGCGCCGGACCGCTCCTGCCCTGCGACGGGCGCCACGCCCGGCGGCCAGGCGTTCGTCAGCCGCACGAGGGCGCCGGAGCGGCAGTGTGCGACGATGACGCCTCGCACGAGCGCCTGGCGGCAGAGGCCGGCAGGCCACGCCACCGCCGCTGCCGCGTCGCTGCCGCCATTTGGTCCGGCCTCGCCGGCCGCGCGAAGAAAGTAGGCGACCGGAGGCAGCGGCGCAAAGGCGCGCGAGGCAGCTGCCGCCTGCGGCGCCGTCCTCTGACAGAGCGACGCCGAGTGCACCAGTTCGCGGAGGCGGCTGCCAGCAGAGGTTTCGCCGCTGAGCAGGCGGGCGGCGGCGGGGGCGAGAGAGGCGAGCCCGTCGGCCTCGGCCGCCGCGGCGTGCATTCACACGGCGGACACGCGGGCCGGTCGCTGCCAGGATGGCGGAGGCCCACAGCCGCGTAGGAGAAGAAAACGCAAACCCACTCCGCCACGGCCTCGGCCTCCGCCACCGCCGCCGCTTCCGCCGCCGCCACCACCGCCGCCTCCGCCACCACGTCTGGCGCCGCCCCCGCCACCACCGCCGCTGCCGCCTCCGCGACGAGATACCACAAGTGGCAGTGACGTCACGGTGCTCACTGACTGGCGCGTAAGGCTGACACCCTCGGACGGTTCCTGCTCGTGCGCCGTCGAAGGGTGGCGGAGAGGACAACCACGGGGCAGAAAGCGGTGGCACTCGACGGCGATCGTCGAGCGGATTGACAGCCGGACGGTGCGCACTGCCAACTCCATCTACAGCTTGGACGGCCCGATGGACCAGCAAGGGTGGGACGCAGCGGGCACCTCGCGTTCGACAACCGGAGCCTTCGCCAATGGCTTCCCAGAGGACTGGAGATCACTGCTTCCCTCCGCGCCTTTCGCTGAGGACGCCGATGCGGGCCGCCGCAGGCAGAGCAAGAGGCGATCCCAGGATTCGCCTACGGCTACCCGCCCCCACCCCCAACGGGCGAGGATGGCGACCGACTCCGGTGGAGGTAGGGGCGACGGGGACGAGGGGGGGGGTGACATGGGGGGGGCCAGGGCCCCGGAACCGGCGGCAGCATCGGCCGTCTCCCCCCTGCCCCGGGCGACGCTGGGAGGTTCGCCATGGGGGTGGCTGATACCACACAACCCGCGGGGCGGTGGGCCGATACCTCTTCGACCGAAGAGAGCCGGCCTCACTTCACGGGGAGGGGCGGCGTGGCGATCCAGTGCCGCCGCCCTCGCCCGAGGAGTTGGGCATGGGACCACCGGAGGTGGAGTCAACAGGAGCAGGCAGAGTGGGCGAGACGGCGGCGGGGCCGCGGCCGAAAAAGGCTAGGAGGGGGGGTCGGGCCCCGCATCCGTTGCCCAACCAGCGGAAAGCGAGTGGGGGGAGGACCGAGGGGATAAGAGGGCCCCTCCAGACCGAGGGGGGGGAGGCCAGACCGGGAAGCCTCGAGGGGTGACGTCGAGTGAGGATGTACGTCGTGTGCGTGTCTGGTGTTTATTAGCTCCGAGTAGAGGGGGCGCTCCGCTGCTAGGGGAAACCTGGAGCGCGGACTAACCCTCGGAGACCCGTGTTTACTTTACGGCCCTTTCCCTGCGAACGCGCACCCCCTGGGCTAGGGCTCTCTTGCCCGCAACCCGATGCCAATCATCCGGCCCGCTGGGTGCGCTTCTCAGCTCCCCGGCCCTGGGTGTGCGGTTGCCGACTGCACTCCAAGTGCTCCACTCCAAGTGCTCCAAGTGCGAGGCAAGGAGGAGACGCGGGGAACTGACAGACTGGGACGACTGGAAACAAGAAGACAGTGAGCCACCACAGGCGTCGTTGGCGCACATACTGAGCGGCAGCTGCGCTGGAAATAAGGAAGAGGCGCGTCACTTCATGCGGAAGCTCGACAAACACACAGCGAGGGCGACAGCAAGAGTTGAACGGGAGGCGCCGGACTCAAAAGACACCGCCACATTCCTGAGACGAGCGAGGGCAGCCTCCTTAAAGGCGAAAGGGTCTAGATTTGGAGCGCTCGCCGAAGAGGAGTACGACAAAATAGCGCCCGTGATTGCCTGCACGCTACCCGCACTCACGGACTCCATACCCGAAAGAAAGAGAAGGGAGCTCGCGGGAGAGGTGACGAGTGAACTACAGGTAGTGGGGAAGGCAGCCTCGATTGCCATACAGACATGGGTGCGAAACAACGACAAGACCAAGGCACGGGCAGAGGAACGAGAGAAGAATATAGGGTGGATAAAGCGCCTGTTCACGGCATGGAGGGTGAGCCACACCGAACGTACCGAGCGAAGAGCCGAGCGGAAGGAGGACGGGGAAGATGACTCCGAGGACGACGAACCAGTGGAAATCCAGTTGTCAGATGTCACGATGCATCCGAAGGGGACCCCAGCGCCGGCATCATCCGTAGAGGCACGAGTGTTCGAAGAGAGAGTGGACCTGAGCAACAACATGACCTGTAGGCAAATGATCGGAGTGGGAGTCAGAAACGTGGTCCTTGCGCGAGGGGAGCTCGATAGACTCGAGGGGCCAGGATACGCCGCGAGGAGGACGGAGTTGCGCCGAAAGGCGAAAGAAGCCGCGAGAACAAGGGACCGGCAGGCGGCGGCGTCACAGGACGAGGCAGAAGGGAACGACGCGACAGAGGAGGAAATGACAAGGGAGAGAACGACGAGAGTGGGACGACCGCGAGGTGGCATGAAGGTTGCAGCGAGAATCGGAGAGAGACTGCGAAGAGAGATAGGAAGAGGCAGACTCCCTACACCCTAGCGGGTGGGCGACGGCTAGCGCACCACACACCTCTCCTTAAAATCCCTGTGTGGTGGCGGCGTGCCGTCCTCCCATCCCTCCCTTGGCTTGTCTGTTTTCTTTCTTTCTTTCTTTCAAGTGCGAGGAAGCCAAGCCTTTCTTTCAATGGTAAAGTAAACACACGGCCGATCGGCCGTCCTGACACGTGTAGGGCCACCGCCCCCGAGCCGGCGCACGTCACCCTCCGCACGGTAGCCGGATGTTGTGCCCGAGCACCTCCTCGGCGGCCACGGCGATGATCTGGCACGTCAGCACGCCCGCGACGAACAGGTCGTCGGCGTTCGAGTTTGCGACGACGGAGAAGGTCGCGTTGAGCTGGGGGATGAGGCCCTGCTCGGAGAGGAAGCCGTACGTGTTGCCCCCGTGGCCGAGGTAGGTGCCCCACTCGCCGTACCGTGCGCCGCGCGCCCACGACGTCTGCTTGAGCATCAGCCCAAGCCCATACGCGATGTGCCCGCGGCCCCAGCCCAGCCCGAGCGGCTCGAGCTCGGCCATCGCCTCGATTGTGTCGTGGCGGAGGATGGAGCGCTCGACGAGCAGCTCCCAGAAGAACTGCGCTACCTCTCCCGTGGTCGAGGCGAGGTTGCCGCACACCCACCCGAGGATGGACGCGTCCTGCGCGCCGATGTCGACCTGCCCCCTCCGGCCGAGCGGCCAGAGCGACGGCTTGCCGTGCTTGCCGAAGAGTGTGGTCGAGTCGGAGATTGGGCCGGTGGTGAGGAAGGACGAGCGAGGCAGCGGGTCCGCGCCGCCCCCCAGCAGCGCCTTTTGGTCGAGCTCGTACCTGCAGAGGGGTGAAGGAGGGTCGGAGGGTGGGAGAAGGGGGGGGGGGGGGGGGGCAAGGAGGCCCTTTTGCAGGGGCCTGCAGTGGCAAGGGTGGGGGTGGGGGTTAAGCGGGGCGGGGGAGGGGACCCTGAGGGAAGAAAAAGGCTTCCAAGACCGGAAGGGGCCGAAGAGGGGCAAAAGGGGAGGAGGGTGGGGAATGGGCCCTTGCCAGGTTTGCCCGGAGTCCTCAAGCGCGAGCAGCACAAGGCCCAGCAGCACATATTTTGTGGACAAATACAAAACCCAACTGCCCGGCTCGAAAATAAAGGGGGGTTTCCCGGGGGGGGGGCCAAGAACAAACTCCAGGGGGGGGGGCACGCGCTTCGCCACCCCCGCCTGCAGAAGCGCGTCGTCAAAGGGGGGGTAGTCAAAGTCAGCAATCCCCGAAAACATTTGCAGCAACTGACCCAACGTGACAAGGCGAGCCCGCGGGCCAAAAAGGGCGG